CGCCGGGCTAAGCCGAGGACTAGGTATCGGCGGACCCTCGCGACCCCCGGCCCGGCGCCCATCCCGGGCCTACTCCGCCGCCTGCACCCGGTCCGAGGTGTCCCACTCCGGAAGCAGAGTCGCCCGTGACCACCACGCGACCCCAAGTTTCCCCCAGGCACCCTCGACTTGGCGCCCTCGATCCTTCCCGCGACACCCATGCCGTCTGACGGGAACTCAAAGCTTGACTGACACGAACTGAGTTTCCCGGCCCCCACCAAACCTGACTGGACTACTAAAATCCCCGCAGTGTAAAGTCTGTATTTTCCAACCCGGACTCGAAATCCTAGTGCTCTCAGGAAAGCTCCCCAAAAGCGCAGCGTGCTACCCTCTTCCAGCCTCAGATGCACTAGAACCTCTGGACGTCCGCCCCTCCTGATGCTGACCACCTGCCCACGTTCCTGCCTTAGTCTTCTGCTCGTAGGGTGCACCCCATCCCCGTTTCTATTTTCCAACGTTCCTCGTCCCCTTTGAAAGGTCTGCTGCTTTTGCTTTCTCTTTCTGCTTGGAGGGTTGGCGTTCTGGGGGTATTAAGCCCTAGCCTTCACTGTTTTCCCCCTTCTACGTCCTCCAACTCATGCTTCTCCTAGGTCCTTCCCCACCCTCTCCAAACGCCTGCTGCCTTTTCCTTGTCTCACTTCGTATCCGCTAACTTCATTCATCTCCCAGTGCCTTCTTCTGGGCTTGTTCCTTAACCGGAAGTCCACCAACTAACCACTCATCCTATCAACCACCTGTGTCCTACCCAGCACTCACTAAGATTTCCACATACCCTGTACCCCAAATCTTATTGGCAGTAGTAGCCAGAAATTTTCCTTCATTTCCTTCTATTAGTATTTTCTCCCTTGGACAATGAACCCTTGCCTAATAACTTGCCACCATATTTCTCAACGCCAGCATTTTAAAGGCAAAATTATAAAAATTAGGCCTCATATCCAGAGGAAGTAAAAATCTTTTAATTTATGAATGAAGATAACAAAACAAATTCTTCCACTTCTGAACATTAGAATAAAAAGTAATGAGCTAAGGGAAAAGAAATGCCTATAATTGGATTGGGTCCTTTAGTAGACATTGAAATAAAGTACCGATGAAATTTTCAGTGTCTGTATCTGGTGGACAAAGGACAAAAGGAAACTCATTCTCTGAAAGCAGCCTGTCATAGAACGCATATGAGCATACAGTTGACCAAGAGCCAGTTTCTGTTCTTGGCACTAGTAATGTGAGAGGGAATAGACAAAAATTTACCATAGCAAAGCAAGAGCATTCACTTTTTTTTTTTTTTTTTTTTGCCCCATATTTGAAGTGTTAACTCAGGGCCCCGGATTCAGCCTGTACATCAAAAGACTCGTCAACGGTGGCGGGTTTACAGACCGAGACAGTGGAAGCTGTGCTTAGCTAGGAAGAGGAAGCAGAGAAAAACAAAGTCTATGATAAAAACTGGAAAGGAGCCACAAAAAGGCTACAAAAAACCCCAAGAAAAGCCATTTTCGAACCAGATCTTGGAGTGACTGAAAAGCCAGTGTCATCTGAGGATGCAAGTAGTAAAATCACACTTATGCATGTAGGAAAGCAAGTGGGCACTTTAAGTCCTATTGAGTTGGGAAAGCATGGGTGGGTACTAGAGAATGAATATTCATACATCTAATTTACATTTTATTTTTATTGCAGTAAAATTCAGAAAATGTTAAGATTTTAAAATATGAGTTAAATTCAGTTCACATACATTTTTCTCTAGATGTGTTCTAAAGAAAAAGAAGAATATGGCTAGGTCTAGAAGTATGATGAACTATTTTGAAGACAAGACCTGAAAGTTTCTAATATTAATTAGTAATTTTAAAATTATTTAAAATGTATTTATTATTATAAATATTTATTTCAAATTATTTATTAGTAATATTAAAATTATTATTAGCAGCTTTATTTTGAGCCAAGCTGGGGACTAGGGAGACATTTGCGAGCCAGACATGCACAGTTTCTGTCTGCCTTTTTGGAACTTCCTGTCTATAAAAGGAGATAGATAAATGATAATCCTAAACTATAATAGTTTTGTTTTTGTTTTTTTGTGTTTTTTTTGGTACTGGGGATTGAACTCGGGTCCTTGCTCTTGCAAGGCAGGCCACCGGACTGCTGAGCTAAATCCCCGGCTATAATAGATGTTTTGATAGGGGAATTTTAGAGTGTAAGGGGCAAATTTCTTGCTTTGGGTGGTGATGGGGGTAAATTACCATTCTAGGAAGTATGGGAATTTCCCAGAGGAAGTGACATTTAAACTATAAAGTGACCAAAAGTAGGAAAACCAGGAAAAGGAATATAGGGTGAGGGATAAGAATAATATATCTAAAGGTGTTATAGTGGGTGAGAGTAAAGCAATTCAGAGGAACCAAAAGCAGGCAGAGTAGGGCTGAAATGCATCCTAGAGAGGCAAGAGGGGGAAAGGAGACTAGAAAGGTAAACACCAGATCCAAGAGAGCCACATGAACTGTGATGATGAGTTTGCACTTCATACTGAAGGCATGGGAAGCCACTGAAACATTTATGCAGGGTAGTGAGGTGATTTAACTTAAATTTTGTTTTGTTAGTTTTTGTGGGTTTTTTTGTTTTGTTTTGTTTTTTTTAGAGAGAGCCTCACTATGTAGTATTTCAGGCTGGGCTTGAACTTGATATGTACCCCGGGCTGGCCTCAAACTCACAATGATCCTCCTGCCTCAGCCCCCCAAGTATTGGGATTATAGGCTTGCACCACTGTAACCAGCATGTCATTTAAATTTTAAAAAGGTCAGCTTAGTGGCAGGGTGGAGGTTGGTTTATAAGGGAAAAAGAGTGAAAGTTGAGGATCCAATTAGGAGACAAAACCAGTTAGCCTTCCTAGGTAACCACTTTGAAGTGAATGGTCGCACAGTCAATTTCATGACATTTTCCTCTCCTGAGAAGAAACCCTGTAGATATTAGCTATCTCTCCACCTGCCCCCACCCCAAGCAACTATGAATGAGTGGACGTGACTTTGGTGTGTGTGGCGCTGAGGAATGAATGCCAAGAGCATGATGAGTTACTTGCTACATGCCAGCCCTTTAAAAAATTAATTAATCATTAATTAATTTTGAGTTAGGATCTCATCAGCGTCATCTGGCTTGTGATCCTCCTGCGTTAGCCTCCCCAGTAGGTGGGGTTACAGGCGTGTGTCCCCATGGCTGGCTCCCTTGCCCTTTTCCGAAGTGAGTTATTTATCATTCACATTCTAGATCCAAATCCCTTATTAGATATATGATTTGCAAGTATTCTGTGTCTCTCTCTCTCTCTCTCTCTCTCCACCCTCCCCCTCATAGTAGTACTGGGGATTAAACCCAAGTGTTAACACAGTACTGAACTAATCTCCAGTCCTTTTTATTTTGAGACAACATCTTGGTGAATTGCTCAGGCTGGCCTCATAACTTGCGTTCCTCCCACCTCAGCTTCCCACGGAGCTGGGAATACAGGCGCACACCACCATGCCCAGAGATTCCCTTTCTTGATAGTATTCTTCGAGACACAGAGGTTTGTCATTCTGATGAAGTCCAGTTTAACTATTATTTTCTTTTATTGCTTGTGCTTTTGGTGTTATATCCAAGAAATCATTGCAAAGTCCAAGGTCATAAAGCCCTTCGCTTACGTTTTCTTTTAAGAATTCCATAGTTGTAGATGTTTGATCTATTTTGGGTTAATTTTTGCATATGATGTAAGATAGGATCTAATTTCATTTTGTGCATGTGACTGTCTAGTTATCTCAGCAGCATTATTTGAAAAGACTTCTTTCCCAATTGAATCATCTTTGCCCTTTCTCAAACATTAAAAGGCATGTGGATTTGTTCTGGAATCCAATGCTATTCTCTAGAGAGGATGGGTGGATAGATAGGTAGATAGATAATCTTTACACCTGTACCACAATGTCTTAATTACTATTCCTTTGTAATAAGTTTTAAAATCTAGTGTGAGTCCTCCAACTTTGTTCTTTTTCAAGTTTTGACCATCCTGGACCCCTTAGGGTTATATGTATTTTAGACCCAGCTTGTCTGTCTCTCTAAGGAAGTTAGCTGTGATATTTGTAGGTATTATCTGGAATTTCTATATGAATTTGGAAAGTATCAGCACCTTAGCAACATTTTCATCCATGAACACCAGATATCGTTCCATTTATTTGGATATTTAATTTGTTTCAATAATGTTTTTTGGTTTCCAGATACAGAGTCTTGTTTTTTTGTGTTTGTTTTATTTTTGCTAAATTTGTTTCTGAATATTTTACTCCATTTGATGTTTTTTCATAAGTGGAGTTGTTTTCTTAATTTATGTTTGGATTTTTTTTGCAACTGTAGAAAACACAATACAATTTTATATATTGATGTTTTAACTGCAAACTTACTGAACTTATTCTAAGGATTTTAGTGGATTCCTTAGGATTTATATGCAAGGGCATCTTATCTGTGGATAGTTTTACTTTTTTCTCTCCAAAATGGATTCCTTTTATTTATTTTTCTTGCCTAATCACCCTGGTTAGAACCTCTAGTACAATGTTGAGCAAAGATAGTGAGAAATCAAATAAGCATCAATTGGGTGAGAATTAAAAGCTTGCAGAAGTTAGATGTATTCTTCAGGATTCAGCACTTGGACCTGATGATCAAGGCAAAGGAAATACTGCCAAATTTTAAGCCTAGGTGACCAAAAAAATAGTATTTCCAAAGTCAGGGTTGGACCAGAGGGAAGGTAATGACTTTGGCATTAGAAGAGTTTAGAAGTGACTGGGAAAATTCCTCCAGACTTCCACAATCATACCACATGCATACAGTTGGAAACAAAATAGTTAAAGCTGATAAGCATTGATAAAAGATACTGGAGCTATTTAATCTGGAAAATAAAAATATTTTACAAAAAAGAAAACGATCAAAAGAGACACTTATTTCTCTGTTATGGCTTGGGTCTAGATGTCCCCCCAAAGCCTCATGTGGTCATAGGTGGGGCTTTTTCAGAGGTAGCTGGATCTAGAGTGTGTGGCTCTGGGACTGATTTGTGGTGTAATGTAGTATCCAGGGCATTAGAATGAAGGGAGTGAGTGCTACCTGCCCTAAGTATTCTGGATAAGATATAAGAGACAGAAAGAGCTGTGTTCATCCCTTGCTTATTTTGCTACCT